CAAATATTCTCACGATCAAATCAAATAATATCTACCCGAACAAATCAAATATCTCCACGAGCAAATTCAATATCTCCAGAAATAACTAAGTAATTCTCATGAACAAATAATATCTTTATGAATAAATTAAACAATGTATCCGCGAGCAAATTAAGTATTTCCACGATCAAATTCAATAACTCGTCAATTTTCACCCATTTAAATCGTCAAGTCTCTAAATTTTTCCATTTAAATCAAATAATATTCTACAAATAACTCCAATAAGCTCCATGATAAATCAAATAATCTTCCATAAACGAATCAAATGTTTCCTTGACCGAGTCAAATAATTCCCCTCAGTCAAATCAAATAATGTTCCACAAATAATATCTTCCTCAGCAAACCAATATTTCCACGAGAAAATTAAATAATCCTCCATGAATATATTGAATATTGTATCCTCGATCAAAACAAATAATGTCTCCACGAATGAATTAGATAATTCTCCACGAATGAATTAGATGTCTCCATTATCAAATCCAATTATCTATCAATTTTTACCCATTTAAATCCTTAAGTCTCCAAAATTTTCCATTTAAATCAAATAATTCTCACCAATTAACTCAATTCTCCAAATTTTCCAATTTAATCCAGTCACATACCTTGGCCACGAGAAATATTATCTTACATTTACCTTCCAGTCCGCGTTGAAGGCTCCGGAATTATTATTGGGTTCAATCCGGGCTGTTTTCTCCTTACTAGGCTGAGTTAGAAGAATCTGGACTCCATTTGGGGCCACTCGCTGGGCATTGGGCTGTGGAAAGCCGAAACTGGGCCTCTGAGAAAAACCGCAAATGGGCTGCAGAGGGACTGGGCTGGGTGCAGGCCACACGCGGGCTGGGAGCGGGCCCGCACGGGCTGAAATCAGTGAGGGTCGAGGGCTGTGCGGGCTGGGGACGGCCCGCGAGATTTCTCCTTCTCTTTAGCGCAGGCTGGCGCGATTTGGGCCACTACTCCTGGGCTGCTCGCACGTGGGCCGATAGTGTGCTGGGCCTGCTTTCCACAATGGACCACGCACGTTGGACTCCTCCCTGCTGGACCGCAGATACCGGGCCTGATACGCTGGCATGTGGAGCTGCTCACAGATATCTCGACCCACCCCTACTCCGGCGCAAGTAGCCGGAAAAATACCGCCGTAAAATGTTGCTGTCTCCAGCGAATGTGACC